AAATTAAACCACTGTTTCTATTTAGGCTTTGTGAGTCACAGCCAGGGGAGGTATAAATAGAAACAAAAATAATTTAAAGGAACACTATAGGGTCAGGGACACAAACATGTATTCCTGACCCTATAGTGTTAAAACAACCATCTAGCCCCCTCTGCCCCCCCCAAATTGCCTCTCTAAATATAGTAAAATCTAACTTGTATTCAAGTCTGCAGCTGCTGCCTCTGCCCCTGACCTGCCTGCTTACAGCTGACATCATCAGAAGTGATTCTGTGAGCCAATCACAATGCATTCCCATAGGATTGGCTGAGACTGTCAAGGAGGAAGATCAGAGGCAGAGCCAGCACAAGTCAAACACAGCCTTGGCCAATCAGCATCTCCTCATAAAAAAATGAATTGAATCAATGCATTTTTATGAGGAATGTTCAGTGTCTCACTTCACAGGGAGGAAACATTGAATGGCAGCGCTGCACACTGTACAGCACTGCCCCAGGAAGCACCTCTAACAGCCATCTGAGGAGTGGCCAGTGAAGTTATCACTAGGTTGTAATATAAACACTGCATTTTCTCTGTAAAGACAGTTTTTACTGCAAAAAGCCTGAAGGTAATGATTCTACACACCAGGACAAATTCAATAAGCTCAGGGCCGGTGCAAGGATTTTTGCCGCCCTAGGCAAAAGTAAAGTTTGCTGCCCCCCCATGTGATATCACAATGCCCCACCCATATGATCTGCCATGTTAACTAACGCCAGTGCTGCAGTCAGTGCTGCAGTGCCGCCGTGTTTACATTAAAAGGCCTGCAGGGACAGGCTATAGACACCAGAACCACTACATAAAGCTGCAGTGGTTCTGGGGACTATAGTGTTTCTTTAATGTGAGGTAAATTAGAGATTAGTGCCACAAATAATATACTAGATTGCCTACTTACAACCAGATGAGGATGATGATGGGCTCTAGTTTCAGTCTGGCTCCACTGGTCTGGTGTAGAACAGGATCTCTGGAGGCTGTTTGTAACTGTGGTCACAAAATCAGTGTTCTGGGAGAATGGGAAGCAGCTCCATTTTTTGGAGGTCCTTTACACAGCTCAAGGTCTGCGTCCCAGGGTCCACCTTCATGTTCCACCAATGAGTTTGTTCACAGGGGGTGGAGTGTGTAGGGGATGTCCTGATATGTGTGTAAGGAATGCATTGTGTGAATCTGTGTTTGTATGTGTAACGCCTGCAAGGTGTGTTTCTGTGTATGTACGGGATGCAGTGTGTGTGTCTGTAAGGGATGCATTGAGTGTGTGTAATGAATGCATTGTGTGTTTCTGTGTGTGTAAGGGATGCATTATGTGTAAGGGTTGCATTGCTTGTGTATGTGTTTCTGTGTGTGTAATGCATTGTGTGTTTTTCTGTGTGCAAGGGTTGCATTGTGTGTGATTATGTGTGTGTGATGGATCTCAATCTCTCCCCCCCCCCTCCTTGTCACACACTCTTTCTCCCCCCCTCCTTGTCTCACACTCTTTCTCCCCCCTCCTTGTCTCACACTCTTTCCCCCCCCTCCTTGTCACACTCTTCCCCTTGTCTCCTCTTGTCTCACACTCTTTCTCCCCCTCCTTGTCTCACACTCTTCCCCCCTTGTCTCACACTCTTCCCCTCTCCCCTTGTCCACCTCTTTCTCCCCTTGTCTCACTCTTTCTCCCCTTGTCTCCTCTTTCCCCCTTGTCTCACACTCTTTCTCCTTGTCTCTCTTTCTCCCCCCTTGTCTCACCTCTCTCCCCCCTCCTTGTCACCTCTTTCTCCCTCCCCACTTGTCACTCTTTCTCCCCACTTGTCACTCTCTTTCTCACTTGTCTCTCTCTTTCTCCCCCACTTGTCACTCTCTTCCTCCCCACTTGTCACTTTCTCTCTTCCTCCCCACTTGTCATTCTCTTTCTCCCCTTGTCACTCTCTTTCTTCCTCCCCACTTGTCACTCTCTCTCTCTTCCTCCCCCCCCACTTGTCACTCTCTTTCTTCCCCCCTTCCCAATTTCATGCTCCCCTGCCCCCTACCTCAGTTATAGCGTGGCCGAGCCCTCTATTGGTCCGCGGGTACAGGGAGTTTTTGTTTCCTGTACCCGTCTGGACTAACAGGAAGTGCACACTCAGATGTTCCCTGTACCCGCGGACCAATAGAGGGCTTGGCCACGCTACAACAGAGGAAGTGACGGGAGTGAGCACTGAGCGCTGAGCGCTTCCCTCCTGTCAGCCCCTCTCCTCAGGCTGTGCCCGGGCGGTGCACTCGGGCGGCTGCAGCATGGGGGGGGCGGCGCTCCTGGCGGCTGCCTAGTCCGCCTAACAGGTAGCGCTGGCCCTGAATAAGCTGTAGTTGTTTTGGTGACTATCGTGTCCCTTTAACATCTAATTAACATAGGGGCTGATGGAGCTGCAGCTCCAGGCCCAGGCCCAGGCCCACGGAATAGAACCATTGATTTTACACACACTACTCTTAGGGTTGCCAGGTATTTCTCATGTATTTCTTATGGTTGCCAGGTATTTCTCAGAAGTATTTCTCAGGTATTTGAGGCTGCCTAGCCGGTGCCGGTATTGCAGTAATACCGGCAATACAAATGTCTGTCTCAGTATAAACAGAGATTATTCTGCAAAACCATCACCAGCCAGTAGGGGTCACTGTTTGTATGGAGAGAGGCAGGTATAAGAAGTTACAGCATCTACCTCCCTGCCTCTCTCTACTCACTGATCAGCGGGGGAGCAGCTCTGCATAGAGAGTGCAGACAGCAGCTCCTAGCCTGTGAGACATGGGGACACAGACTCTGAGGGACACTGAGAGACATGGAGACACTGGGTGACTTTGAGACCTGGGAGACATGGGGCACTCCCAGTGTCCCCATGTCTCCCAGCCAGTGTCCCTAGTATCTCAGTACCCCCATGTCTCCCAGTGTCACTGGTGCCTCTCAATGTCCGTAGTGTGCCAGTGTCCCTAGTGTCTCAGTGTTTCCTAGTCTCCCAAAGTCCCCTAGTCTCCCAGTGTCTGCATGACTCCCAGTGTCTCGGTGTCCCATAGTACAAAATAAAAAAATCTCAGGCACTCACTGTGATAGATTTAAGCAGGTTTATTGGACAACGCAACATTTTAACATGTACCCAGGTCTCCAGTGTCCCCTTTATATAACAGTGTCCCCTATGTATCATAGTGTCTCAGTGCCCCATGTCTCCCAGTGTCCCCAAGAGTTTCGGTGTCCTGAGGTCTCCCAGTGTTCCCTAGTATCTCAGTGTCCCCATGTCTCCCAGTGTCCCAATGTCTCCCAATGTCACCTAGTGTCCTAGTGACAGAGACACTTTGCGACTGGGAGACATGGGGACACAGACATGCCCCCTTTGTGAGTATGTTCGTCCCTTTAGGCAGTTCCTGTTATGTGATTTGTGTCAGTGGCCCACCCTTTTACCCCATCCATAGACTTCCTGCTTTACTGGACACTGCTGTTAGGGGGTATGGGTTTACTTGAAAGATGAAAGCATGAGATTAGCATAGGGTATGTATTTTCTCATAGCTGCACCCCATGAGTTTTCCTCCAGCACCATCTCCATCAGATACATGACGCTTAGGAGGTGGGAGTGTTTTAGTGTTTTTGGTCAATAAAATTTTGTTATTAGGCCCATCATAATTGTCAGCACCAGGCCCACTGGGCTCTTAATCTGGCCCTGGTTAGGGTACCTATATTAAAACCCACACCAGATTACCAGTCAGTTCATCTCACCCACCTCACCCTTCTCCTTTAAATTAATTCTACCAGGAGGGTCCTCTTCTATTACAGGCCTACGCTTACGTCGGTTTCGACACATCACTACCGTCATTTTCCATTAATAATGTTATTACACGACTTATATGTTACCGACCAAAAATATAAAATAAAAATAATAAATAAATTACAAATACATTTTTTTCAATGTATATATATATATATATATATGTGTGTATCAAGGAAGGTGCACTCACAGGACTTGTGCAATCATACACCAGAAAATGTGTCATCGTTCCAGTCCTCTATTGGACTTTTCTCAAGACTTGAGAAAAGTCCCATAGAGGACTGAAACATCAGCACATTTTGTCAACACAAATTTATCTACAAAGGCCTGTGAGTGCACCTTCCTCAATACTTATATTTTGGTATACGTGATTTGCACCCACGCAAGGACATGACCAGGAGACAAATCACCTGAATAAAATCAGGGTTATTCTCAAATTATACAATTTTTATTCTCAAAAATATAATTCCTGGAAAATTCTGCAGTGGCCTTCAGAGTCACCTAATTTGAAAGCCATAGAAAATCTCATAAATCATAGAAAAATAAAAAAGAATGTGGTTGCAGCAAGAAAATCCAAGAATATTACTGAACTGGAGGCCAATGTTCATGGGCTAAGCAATGGGCTAGGATTCCTCAGGAACTCTGCCAGAAGCTGGTGTCTGGCTATGCATCTCATTTGCAGTAGATCATAACAGCAAAAGGGTGCTCTACTACATACTAAAATGCTTGCCACGAAGGGGTTGAATAATTTTAAGACTGAAGAAGTCGTTATAAGTTGCATTTTCAGTTAAATGTGGGAAAACCACTTGGAGCTTTAGTTGTGTTGAGCTATTTCAATTGCCTTTGTTTGATTTGTTAATTGCAAACAGCTGAAAGTCTGTATATTTTGACAATAATTTTGACAATAATTTTTTACAATAAACCTAATTTTCATTTGGAATTTAATCATTTTGATTACAGCTGTATATATCAAAATACAATAATGAAATTATACCATCAGCCACCTACTCTACATAGATGACATCAAGCTGTATGCCAACAATGAGCGGGATATTGACTCAATGATCCAACTAACTAGAATATACAGCAAGGATATCGGAATGTTTTTTTGGACTAGATAAGTGTGGACATATGATACCAAAAAGAGAGAAGATGATCAAGACAGAAGGAGTTTAAGTACCAGAAGGCCAAATATGAGATATAGAGTACCTGAGGGTTCCACAAACAAATGTCAATGATGAGGAAGAGGCAAGGAGGATAGCAATATCCAAGTACCTCCAGAGAGTCAGACAGGTCCTGAAGTGGCCAAGAGAAAAATTGGTCACCATGGGAGTCAAGACCCAGAATCTACTCACTAAATGGAGGATTCCACCTGAACTCTAGCACCAGGAGACTGTACACCAGCCAGAAGGAAGGAGGTTGGGGCCTGATGAGCGTCAAGGCGACAGTCCTGGATGAAACACAGAGCTTCCACAAGTACATCATGAAGTTGGCTCCCAAAGATGAACTGCAAAGGGAATGCCTGAGATGTCAACAGATGGAAGAGGCAGAAAAGGAGGAGGTTTCATAGCAAGACAAACCTCTCCATAGGGTGTACCAAAAGCAGTTAGTGGATGTGGCTACCAGTGGTTAGCAAAGGTAAGACATGAAAATATGGACGAATACCAGGGACGGAAAGAAGAGCTAGAAAGGATGTGAAAAGTGTAGACAGTAGTATTTGTAGTTGTGTTAGGAGCACTCGGGGCTGTGACTCCCAGGTTGGGAGAGTGGCTTCAACAGATTCCCGGTGGGACATCTGAGATCGCTGTCCAGAAGAGTGCAGTTCTAGGAACAGCTAAGATACTGCTCAGGACCCTCAGACTCCTTGTCCTAAGATAGAGGACCCGAGAATGAGAAATAAATATACTACCCATGAGGGGTGATAAAATCATTTTTTCTATTTATATAAATTAAAATAATGTAAGAAAAACAATCTGACAAGTTTCAATGTGTTAAAAATTAAAAAGAGGAAAGCCGAATATTTGAAACTGTAACTCTCCAAAACTCTATAAAACCTGTACATGGGTAGTACTGTTGTACTCATGAGACACACGAACACAAAAATGTGTGCTTTATTGCAGTAAAAGCTAACAGTATTGTGACAATCAATATCTCATACTTTTTCAGATTTTATTTGTATTACATCATGTTTCATATGTAAATATTTGATGCAAAATGAAAGCTTGGTTTCTCCTGAACAAAATAATATATAATAAGTGTAAAAAGGAGGAGAGCAAATCAGGGTAGTGAACGACAAACCAAGGCACTAAGTCCAAAGGAGAGAGTGCCGGTCTGTATTCACAATCCTGTGTACCGCACGGAGACTCCAGGGGTCTCCTGGGGCTTAACCCCTATATAGAAAAAAACACAAACAAACGGATGCTACAATGTCTCTACTTAAAGCAAAGTATGAGACCTTCTGCATCCCCTGGATATAAATGTAGCAATGTAGGAGTACAAGAAAAAAGTGTATACAATGTATAAATATACCCCAACAGAGTGTGAGGTCCTAAAGACCTACACTAAACTAGTGTCACTATCTCTCAAAAGTGAGAATAGGGACGAAACAATCTCGCTGCTAAAATCTGGTGGAGGATACTGGAAAAGTGGAATAAAATAAAACTTTATTAGGATCAGCTAAAAAATAGAAAAAATATATCCGTCCCAGAAGTGACTCCTGCAGTATCCATCCAAGCAGAAACCCCCTATATAGACACATAAACCTTGTCCAGCCAGCTACCTAAAGTCTTAGGGAATAAAAAGGATATCCTATATACACAGATAATCCATAAATCCCAATGACCGAAAGTACGGAGTAAAAGGGAAAGGATTGCAAACAGGTAGTAAAGGTTAATGAAAAAGCCTCTCTCCCTGTAAATCTAGCTAGACAGATAAGGTGGTAGAGAGATAGAGAAAAGGTATAGAGAGTAATTCAAATCATCATAAGGCTGCAGAGTACATGGAACAGAGATTGTCCGAAAGCCATAATTTGAAAAAACAAAAAATAAATAATAAATAGAAACGCCCGACGCGCGTTTCAGGTGCTAAGTGTGTGCACCTTCGTCAGGGGCTTGTAGCTGGCTGGACAAGGTTTATGTGTCTATATAGGGGGTTTCTGCTTGGATGGATACTGCAGGAGTCACTTCTGGGACGGATATATTTTTTCTATTTTTTAGCTGATTCTAATAAAGTTTTATTTTATTCCACTTTTCCAGTATCCTCCACCAGATTTTAGCAGCGAGATTGTTTCTCCCCCTATTCTCACTTTTGAGAGATAGTGACACTAGTTTAGTGTAGGTCTTTAGGACCTCACACTCTGTTGGGGTGTATTTATACATTGTATACACTTTTTTCTTGTACTCCTACATTGCTACATTTATATCCAGGGGATGCAGAAGGTCTCATACTTTGCTTTAAGTAGAGACATTGTAGCATCCGTTTGTTTGTGTTTTTTATATAATAAGTGTGTATGCACTTAATATGAAAGAGGTAAATTATGGTTGAACAGACATATATGGTTTATATTCAACAGTTTGTTTTGATCAGAACTTGTACAATTGCAGTCCTTAAGTTACATAGTTACATAGCTGAAAAGAGACTTGCGTCCATCACGTTCAGCCTTCCTCACATTTGTATTTTACTCTTGATCCAAAAGAGGGCAAAAAAAACCAGTTTGAAGCATTTCCAATTTTGCAACAAACTAGGAAAAAAATTCCTTCTTGACCCCAGAATGACAGTCAGATTTATCCTTGGATCAAGCAGCTATTACCCTACATTAAAAAATGTATATCCTTGAATATTCTGTTTTTGCAAGTATGCATCTAGTTGCTGTTTGAAAATCGGTATGGACTCTGATAAAACCACTTCTTCAGGCAAAGAATTCCATATCCTTATTGTTCTTACAGTAAAAAAAACCTTTCCTTTGCCTGAGACAAAATCTTCTTTCTTCCAGTCTAAACGCATGTAAAGTCCAGTTTGTAAATAGATTTCCACACAATGGTTTGTATTGGCCCCAAATATATTTGTATAATGTTATCATATCCCCTCTCAGGTGATGTTTTTCTAAACTAAAGAGGTAAAAAGAATTTGTTAACCTTTCTTCAGAGCTGATATATTCCATTACTTTTATTACTTTTGTAGCCCGCCTCTGCACTTTTTCTAGTGCCATAATATCCTTCTTTAGAACAGGTGTCTAAAATTGCGCTGCATATTCAATATGTAGTCTTACCAGTGATTTATAAAGAGGCAAAATTATATTCTCATCCCGAGAATGAATGCCCTTTTTCATGCATGACAATACCTTACTGGTCTTAGCCACTGCTGATTGACATTGCACTTTGTTGCATAGTTTGTTGCCTACAACAATTACCAAGTCCTTTTCGTGTGTTTTTATCCCTAATTCGGTTCCATTAATTGCTTGTGCATTCTTTACGCCGAAGTGCATAACTTTGCATTTTTCAACATTACATTTCATCTGCCATTTGAGTGCCCAGTCCCCCAGTCTATCTAAATCCCTCTGCAGCAAAGTAATATCTTGCTCACATTGTATTATTTTACAGAGTTTTGTGTCATCTGCAGATATATATATCTCACACCATAAGGGTAATTTATACCACACTACCAACTTTCACTATTAGGTGCGGTTTATCACCTGTTGTGTGTTATTTAGTTGCGTGTCTGTGATTTTCACCAGAAATATCATTATTGTGAAACTAAAAGGGTTAGTTTAATTATTTGTAGACATATGCATATGCTTTGTGAGCATTTATAATACACAGCCACATTTAATATACTCTGTTCTTTTTGCTATGGTCACTGTGTACTACAACTCATCCAGATTGTGTCTAACTACAAACTTCCTGGATACTCAAGTTGACATACAATAATTTAAAATTGCAGAGTTTCTCCTTACTCATCCTATCAAAATAGAAAAAAACCACAGGACTCCGAGGAGTGCCATTTCGAGGTTTCTATGTCGTACAGGAAGCAAAGTTACTGTATAGAGCATCATCAAAAAAATTACTAATAATATATGACATTGTAAAATTCCCTCTTCATCATAGTGTAATAGTGTGACCATTACAAAATTGCATTGTTAACTACTGGTCATTTTATTAAATTTATTCTATGTCTATATTTTGTCAAATGCTGTTTCATTCTTACATGTGTTTTGCAACATTATATGACAGCAACACTTCCTCCTGTACACGTACTGTATTACGTGTCATCCTTCAGTCACCTTTTTTATAGAATTCTATTTGTATACATTCATATAACGAGGAACAGGCATTTATTTATGAGGATATGTGAAAGAAATTAACAAAATGTACTTATTTTATTTCAGTTTTGTAAAAAAAAAAAAAAAAAGTGCCCAGCATTGCCACCTAGTGGAATTTTGTCACATTGCAAATCAAGATGATGACGATAGTGGCATCGTTAATATTGTGTGTTTTTTTGTTTTTTTATATAAAGCAGTAGGCTAGAATGCGATGAATAATTTGTGGTCAAGCAAACATTTCTAATGAACTGAGTTTGATCGCAGGGCTTATTTCAGTTTTTATTTGTTTTTGTATTACGTAGCCTCATTTAGGGTTAATTAATTTGTAGGGATCACCTTATTCTGCCTCATTAGAGGTTTTGACTTTTAGCTGAAATCAAAGTGATTGGGTATTGTATGACTCACCTACGTGGTTTGTCTCCATGTTTGCAGGTGAACTTACATGTTAATAGCTATTGCAATAATACCAAAACTTCTATTATGGCTGTTTTATTTTGTTTTGTTTTTTGTACATTTACGTTGATAAATACTATAGCCCCTACAGTGACCCAAGAGTAGTGGAAGTGTGAGCACGGTGCTAATTTTTTATTTGTTTTTATAGCCACACATTGGCTAGCCTTAGTGATACCGCAGCAAAACTCTTATTCACACTGAAAAGCTCACCTTTGTCTGTTTGATTGTGTTTGTTTGTTTGTTTGTTTGTTTTTTTACAGCAAAATAACTCACAATTTAATAAGTCTACCATCTCAAGTCTACAATCACTTGGTCCATATGGACAAACCACGTCAGCAACAATTCGTCAGCTGCTCGTGTCGTAAAATGTTCTTCTAGAACAAAGCATGGAATGGTTTCCAGATAAACATTTGTGGTTGTTAGGTACAGTTCTTGAAAAGAACCGGGTTAACCACATCTTTTCTACAAATGTAATGAGAATGACTAAACGTCACACAGTTTGACTTCTTTGTTAATCTGCTGCTGAGATTTCACAAGCTTTGGTTATATACATGAAAATAATGCTGCTAAAAGAAAACTATCTAGTAAAGGTTGAATTTTCAACTGGCTTTAAAAGGGAAATCAGTTGAAATATGAAAAGAATGTGTATACATAC